ATATATATCATATTAAATGTGTTATTTTTTAAGCTGTCACATATTGTTTTTCCTGATTAAAGTTGTAAGTTTCTTCTGCAGAGAATAGTACTGGGTGAGGGAGCTTATGAGTCTGAGATCAGCTCCACTACTCATCCCAGAAAGAATCTAGAGCAGTGTTTCTCAACCCTGGCAACTTTCAGATGTGTGGACTTCAACTCCTAGAATTCCCCAGATAGCATGCTGGCTGGGGAATCCTGGGAGTTGAAGTACATACATCTGAAAGTTGCCAAGGTTGAGAAACATTGATCTAGAGAGTCAAGGAATTATTGATCCTTGGGAGAAATAAAGGCTTTAGAATGTAATCAACTAGATTTGTGCTTCCACAACTTAAAAAGAAAACTGTTCTGGGGAAATGATAATCTTATTTAGCTAATAATCACTCAGAAAGTTATTAGGTTTACAATAACCAAATACTGAGGCCATATAATATGTTTATTGTGGAGTCCTTGGGGTTCTCTGAGCCTGGTTCTTGTTTATTATGTTTATTAGAACAAAAATGATAATCTCTTCAAACTTGAGCTGTCTTCTCATTAAAATCTGATTATTAATAAGACAATGCAATATTTTGCAACATTTCAGTCCTCTTGTAAGATGAAATAGAAAGTAAAGATTCAATCCTTGGAAATTCTGACAGAAAGTGAGTTGATATACACTTCTGGAACTAATATAATTATTTCTTTTTCTTAGGTTCAGGTTGTGGGAAAAAAAATAAAGAGATGTCCCTGGAACGTGACTTCTTCATGAGAATGAAATGTACTGTTACCAACAGAGGCAGAACTGTAAATCTCAAATCTGCCACATGGAAGGTAACAAACTTTAGGAACATTGGTTGAAAAATTCAGTCTAGTCCTGTTTGTTTTTTTCCAATTGCTCTATTTTATAATAATATAATAATACAAAGAACTTCTTTTACATTTTAGGTTTTGCACTGCACAGGACAGATTAAGGTCTATAATACATGTCCTCCTCATGCTCTGTGTGGTTTTAAGGAGCCACTCTTATCCTGCCTTATACTGATGTGTGAGCCCATTCAACATCCTTCCAATACCGATATTCCACTGGACAGCAAGACTTTCCTGAGCCGTCATAGCATGGACATGAAATTCACTTACTGTGATGACAGGTGAAATTATCTCTTTTTTGTTGGGCAACATAAGCAGCCTGGTCTATTTCTAATGTGACTGATTAATTTTTAAAATCCTTGGAATATACATGCACACAGTGGAAACAGAAGGGAATGTGACAGAATTCTAGTATATTACACTGGACCATCCACAGCCTTTTGGAGGGGGATTATATTTGTGAAGGTCTTACAAGTTGAAAATAGCACCATAGAGGTTGACCTGTACTAAAACTTTTCTTCTTGTGGTGTTATTTTTTATTTGCATGTATCTGAGGGGGGAATGTTCAGAATTGTTATCTCCCTCCTGCAGCCTGAAATGGTTCAGTCAACTCTGTATTTTCATTCTGTTTCCGGAGGCTTGAAGCTTATTCTGTTCACATAGGTGGAGTCAACCACACCTTTTCATTTTACAGAGAAGGAAGTTGTTCACTAAATATCCAAAATGTTAAAATGAAAAACAAAAACTTGCTCTTTAACAAGGAAGGTTATTTTTTTATGGAAAAGTCTCATAAACAGTATCTTCTCACCTAGAGTTTTAAGTAGAAAAAATGCTTTTTATTATCTCAGGTACCTCATTTGGCTCATATGCAGATTAGGGCCAGATAGATATGGGAGTTGTATCCCATCAGTGTTTCGACTGCCTCACTCTTGGAATGTAAACTGCAGATTATCCGTCCTCAGCTATTTTTCCTCAAAAATCTGACTCCCATCACCAATTGCTTTATGATGGTTCTTCAAGTAGACACAGCTTCCATGTATAGCTTAGTACAGTATGTTGCAATGTCTCCTTTGCAGTGGTGGAGCTTTGTGGAGAATGTACCCGCTATTTATATATGCAGGTAAAATTATTTTTATTTATTTATTTATCATAAGAATGAAGTAAAACAATAAATATATAAAAACAATCATTATTAAAATGTAAAAACAATCATTATTAAAATATATAAAACTAAAGGCACGGAAGAGAATAAATATTAACTGCAGTAGTGGAGCCATCTTAAAATGTAATCAGTCCACTGGGAGCCCCAGGCCTGATGACATAGCCAGGTCTTGAGGGACTTCCGGAACAGTAACAGGGATGGAGCTAACCTCACTTTGCGGAGGGGGGGGGAGGGGAATGTCTCATAAGACAGGTGCCACAGCAGAGAAGGCCCGTCTCCTGGGACCTTCCAAATGTAAGTCCCTAGCAGATAGGACAGCATGCCCTCTCTGCCAGATCTTAAAATTAAGCCAGCTGGTGGTCAGGAAAGGATTTATGACTTCTGATCAAATATAAATTAACAAACGAAAAAGATGAATTGAACTTATGCACATTTGAAGACAGATAGCTGGGTTAACCCCCACTGCACCCCAAACATAGTGGCAGCAACAAGATTCTGCATCTGTAGTATTTATTAGTTGCCAAAAACTGATGTCCTTTAGCTATCTAGTGCATCTGTACCGTACAGGGTTTGTCATATTCCTACTAAACAGAAATTGTATTTTGGAAACAACTACCAGGACATAAGTCACTCATGAAAGAGAATTCAATATATGTCCCAGCCTTTTTCGTACTGGAGGGCCTTTGATGTTAGTGGTATATTTTCTGTTTTTAAAACATTAAATATTGTTCTTTTTATACCATCAGCGCCTTATCCCCATGGACAATTCACATATCTGGGCTGCATAAGAAATTCTCAAAGGAAGTGAATTGCTCTGAAAGAGAAAGATTGCCACCAAAATTGGAAAAAGAAAAACTAGAATAACTGAGGTTCTTAAAAAAGTAGTACTGATATATACGAAGTTAAATATATCCTCTCCCTAAAATTATGATAGCTCTAAATATAGGAGGTTGGCCATGGGGAATTAGAAATACTTTCCCAGCCATGGTTTCTACAACACAAATATGGCACCATTTCCCCTCTTTGAAATTTCAGTCCTTCTACATAGAGCACACTTTATGACATTCCTGGCTGGTTGAGACATATCCCAGAAATGAATAGGCCAGTAATTCTTTCATAGGAAAGTAGCCCAAATATGACTTGATAAAAACAGATTATGTGATTCTTTCCAGATTTCAGGATCTGTGAGAATTGTAATACTGAAATTCAAGTAAGGTGATGAAATTGTGGCTTAGTGGTACAATAAAAGGTTTGAAACATTTAATCCTAATTGAGATATAAGTGATATAAATCAGAGGTGTATGAACAAATTAACAATTTTGGTGACAGTATACACATAATTTGAAGAATAATTTCATCCATTCTTACTTCCTTGAAAAAATGAGAAAAATCTATGATATATTTGGTATACAAAAGAGACCTAGGTCTATGTCTTTCCTTTCTCAATGTGCAAATAACTTTGTGAACCACTGCTGTTCCATCTTTGCAGAAAACGTAGTAATGCCTCACAATGCAAAAAATGTGTTTCATTGACTTAGCTTAGTTTATAAGTAAAATAATGTCCTAAACTCAAAGTTCCCTGGCAGCTCCGTCAATAAAGATCACTGGCTGCGGATGATTCAGCTGCAGGTTAGCTGTAGGTACACTCAGCACTTGCTCAGGTGCATTCTGTTTAGAGAATGATGGTCCTTTCATAATGCTCATTTGTGAATCAGAAAGTCCAGCTTAACTTTGGCAGAAGAAATATTTCCACTTATTAGTTAATTTAGTAATTAAATTTAATCAGTTTTCAGGCTAAGGTATTGGATACATAGCACACCCACCCTTGTTGTATCATGAAAGCTGGTGTAGGAGAATTTCCCTAGAGTTCATTTAGAACCAGAGACCAGCACACAATTTCAGTGAAGCACAAATTGATTTATTACAGTACCGAAGGCCGTAATCAAGCCTAAAAGGGGTGGGGATATAACATCTCTGCATAGACTTATGCTTGCTGCAGAGGCAAATCACCTCTGTGTCCCCAGTCATTTCACTGCTGATTCAATTTGTAGGAGAATTTCCTTAGACTTTGTTTAGAATCAGAGATCAACACACGATTCCATCGAAGCACAAATTGCTTTATTATGGTACCAGAGGCAGTAGACAAGCATAAAAGCAGCTGGAATGCAACATCTCTATATACTTCTGCAAATTAAGTATATATTTAACTATAGCCATTCCTTGATTGGGTTATGGCATATACGTGTTAATGTGAATGTTAATGAAATGACATTGGTGAGGTTAGAGTGCAAATACAGTGGTTTTCTTGGGTTGAACAAAGGGGTCTAAGAAAGACTCTGTTAGGATGTTGCTTTTTTCTAATGGTTATCTGTGTCCTTGCTTCCCAGTACTTTATTTATTTATTTATTTATTTATTTATTTATTTATTTGATTGTTTTAGTGTTTGAATTAACATTCCATTGGGTCTAAATGTTTTATGGCTGAGCTGGTGGTTTATTTTTCCCTGGGAAAGTGTATTTGAGGAAGGAGCAATTTACTTGCCCAACCTAATGCTATTTCTGTACTTCACTTTGCATTTCTCTCTGTTAAACATTCTATTGTTTTCAATCAATTTCTCTAGCCCATCAAGTTTGTTTTGAATTTTATTGTTGTTAAAGGGTATTGCTATCCCACCACTTAATTTTTTGTCCCCTACAAATTCAGTAAGCATTCCCACTATTTAAGTCATTAATAAAAATTCTGACAAATACAGAATCCAGAGCTGAATCTTGTTGCACTCTACTTGATAACTCTCTCCAATTTGATGAAGAACCATTGATGAGCATTCTGAATACAATTTTCAAGCCAGCTGTCCATTTAATTAATGTCATGCCTTCTGGCTCATATTTGTTTATCAGAATGCAGTGACTACTTTGCCAAACCCTTTCTTAAAATCAAGATACACTATGCCTACAGCATTCCCACAATCTATAAAGATGCTGTCTTATTTTAAAAAAATGATACAAGGTTAGTTTGGCAGTACATGGTCTTGATAAATCCATACTGACTTTTGCAAATTAACATATTGTTTTAAAACTACTTACAGATCAGTCACTTTGCTCTAAAGTTTTCTGTGGTCTCAGATCAGATTGATGTGTTGGTAGTTCTCTGGATTCTCTCCCCCCCCCCAAAAGAAAAGAAATGTGGTACGATGAGAGAAACCATTAAAAGAAATATCATAGAAATATACAGATAGAAATATACAAATATACAAACAAATTTAAAAATAAGCTGGATATGGCCAACAAAGAATTCAGAAAAAAAATAATCCAATGAAAGGTACAACTGGATAGCAGCTTAGAAACAGAGAAAAATGGAAATACGCGCACAGGAGCAACATATAAGTTTGCACCTACCTTGATTAAACCATCACATGGAGGCAGCACATAGACACCAGTTCTAATTAGGCCCTGAGGAGAAAGTATGTATACCCATAGACACATACATACACAGAAACAACACTGTTCTTTGTTACACAGAAGTAACTATAATTACTGTTGGTAAAGAGGTTGGCAAGATATCCAGAAGCCATGTTTTTCTGTGTCCCCTTTTTTTTTTAAGACAAGGAACAACATTTGCTGCCCTCCAATCATCTGGAACTGTTCTACTTCTCCGTTGTCATACAAGGATAATACATACAGATTTAGGTAGACCTTCAGCAAGATTCTTCAATACCCTAGGATGCAGTTCATCTTGCACTGAAAGTTTAAACTCATTAGATATTCCCTGATCCTGTTTCTGTCTGAAGCTTTAGTCCTGCCCCTTCTTTGTTGCCCTCTTGTATCTAGAATTACATGTTATTAGCATTTTGTTCTCTTTATTGAGCAATTGGTGAGCTCTTTCGGTACTCTAAGATGCAATTGATCTGGTCCTGGAATTTTTAAAGTCATAAATATGCCTTTAATTACATTCATTTGTAAAAACTTAAAGGTACAAAAAAGAACCTTATTCTTCAGTGAAAGCCATCATAACACTGTCCTGTGACTCCTCTCCAAATCCTTGCTTATGTTTTGCAAATAATGCATGAGCCTAAGACATTTTGGCTATCTTATATATTACCAAAAAGAAAAAAGGAAAAGC